AGTTAGTCTCAAAGACCTACTTCACATAATGTTGTCTGTGGTATTCTTAATTTTTTGTTTCTGTATATAGGTATTAAGAACAATGTCATAACTTTTGTTTAGCTGGTATATAGGGATTCCATGTTAACTATGTATATTTGTTTCAATTTCACCTTTGTGCAATTTTGTTTGAATTCCACTCTTTGTGTTATACACTTCATTGAAGAAATTTACAATTTCCAATAAGTTAGTCTCCAAGACCTTTGCATAATGTTGTCTGTGGTATTTTTAATTTTTTGTCACTGTATAAAGGTATCCTATAACAATGTCATAACTTTTGTTTAGCTGGTGTGTAAGGATTCCACTTAAACTATATATCCTTGTTTCAATGTCACCTTTGTGCAACTTTGTTTATTTTCACCCTTGTGTTATACACTTCATTGAAGAAATGCACGATTTCTTTTAAGTTAGTCTCCAAGACCTTTGCATAATGTTATCTGTGGTATTTTTAATTTTTTGTCACTGTATAAAGGTATCCTATAACAATGTCATAACTTTTGTTTAGCTGGTGTATACGGATTCCATTTAAACTATATATCCTTGTTTCAATGTCACTTTTGTGCAACTTTGTTTATTTTCACCCTTGTGTTATACACTTTATTGAAGAAATGCACGATTTCTTTTAAGTTGGTCTCCAAGACCTTTGCATAATGTTATCTGTGGTATTTTTAATTATTTTTTTTTTGTCTCTGTATATAGGTTTTCCATTAACAATTTAACAATGCTTTTTTGTTTCAATTTCACTTTTGTGCAATTTTGTTTTAATTTCACCCTTCTGTTGTACGCTTTATGGAAGGAATGTACAATTTCCTCAAGGTAAGTCTCAAAGACCTCCTCTGCATAATGTTGTATGTAGTATTTTTAATTATTTTTCCTCTCCATCTACGCATCCTATTATAACAATGTCATAACTTTTATTATGTAGTACTCATAGTTTTCAGTAATTTTTTTCAAGCTGTGTACTACATTTAAGACATGCACAATGCTCTGAAGTGAGTTGCAGAGGACCTCCTTTGCATTAAGAATGTTATCTGTCTACTGCTGAAGGAGAGGATTAACTTAGGCTACAAAATACCATGTATTACAACAAATTTGGCCAATAAATAATAATAAAAATCTGTGGTATTTTTAATTCTATGTCTTAAGACGTTGGTATCCCATGTGTTAAAAATGTCTTTTGCTTTGCTGGCATGTGTACAAGAATTCTAGATTTCATTAAGAAACTTTTTACAACTTTGAAGATGTGCACAGTTTTAGTCTAGAAGAGTTAAGAAAAAAAAAATTGACGAATGAGAATATGTTATCTGATGTACATACTGGTACCTCAGTTTATTCATGTTAATAGTTCTCACTTTTGGGTTAACTGCAAATATACATCAGTAATTAACATTTTTGGAAATATATAAAGGTACATTTATTTTCAAATAACTTCAAGCTGATCACATTTGCTTGTGCAAGTAAGTATAAAGGAACGTTGGGGGTCGTTATGCAGTGATACAATGGTGCATTCTAATATACAGTGGTGGCATCATCTAGCCAAAACCCTCATAATGTAGCACGGAGAGACAAGTTGTGTTTATACAGACACTAGATATTAAGTAACAGTACTATAAACAAAATGAAAAGAATTTTTACAGATACAAACCATGAAGTTTACGCCCAGGCCAGAACAATGTGAGCGAGTTGACCTTTAATATTTAAAGCATGTTCACTGTCCTCCTCTGCAGTAAGTTCATATGCATTTAAAGAAAAGTTAGTACCAGATGGTTTTTGGTTCTCCCATTGCACATCATTATAGTTGGAGTTGTTAGACATTACCATCAGGTCCTCATAATTCTCTGGTATCATAATACCTTTCAAGTAAATTACTTGGTATCTATAAAATGCACTTTTCGCCTCAGAGAAAAACTCGTGGAAAAGTTTTTCCTTGTCCTCAAGACTAGCTTCTTCAGGGAGCATAGCGGTGTTACTGCAAACATGTTAAAAATTTCTATTAAAGAAATGCAATTTATAACACCGTTTTTAAAGTATGGCAGTTAGGCACTTACTTTAGTTCAAAGTATTTGCATGCTGGAACTATTTTGTATCCATGACTCTTGAGACTATTGTAAATGTGATCAACTTTATCAAGGTGTTGTATGAATTTCATGTCACTGACTCCCTCATCTTCACAATCAATAGCACTGCCCATTTCTAAGCACAAATGAGAGGCGTGCTTTAAGGCCAAATGACGCTTCACATTGGGTTTTTGACCTGCCTTCAGGTTTAAAGCCAGATTTTCCCCACAATAGGTGCACATTTTGTGGCTGGTGACTTCACCTGCTGTCAGCAGGGGTCTTTGGCCGCCTACTCTCCGCTTCTTAGCTATTTGAGCATCATTCTGTTCAGGTGCTTGGGGTATGGGGACGATTGCACTTATTTCTGTCTGTGAACAACACATATCCTGTAAAATGAAAATAAAAGTAATATGTAGGACAACCAGAATTGTTATATGATCCAAAGTGTCATGTACTCACCGGTTGCCATTCATTTT